ACCTCTGTGTAGCTGCATGAGCTGGACCACTGAGTCCCCTGAAAGCATTTGTGAAAATAGCTACAAATCAAACAGGGTGTTTTTGTTTTTCTTTCTGAACTTACATGGTCTCTTACTGTTAATCTTGTACTGTGTGATGGCTTCCTACTGCACTGTTGCCCCAATTCTGCAATTGATAGTGTATGGTGACTTTTTAACACTCAGAGAGACACTACAGTCTCCTTAAGTCCAGCTTTTCAGGGATGGAGAGCATGGGTCGGCAACGTTTGTCCCCCGGCTCGCCAGGGTAAGGCCCCTGGCGGGCCGGGCCAGTTTATTTACCTGCTGATGCGGCAGGTTCGGCTGATCCAATGGGGGCGGCGGGAAGCCACGGCCAGGGCATCCCTCGCCCGCGCCGCTTCTCGCCGCCCCCATTGGATCAGCCGAACCTGCCGTGTCAGCAGGTAAATAAACTGGCCCGGCCCGCCAGGGTCCTTACCCTGGCGAGCCGCGTGCCAAACGTTGCCGACCCTTGCTCTACAGCCCTGAAAAGCTAGACTTAAGGAGACTGTAGTGTCTCTCTGAGTGTTAAAAAGTCACCATACACTATCAATTGCAGAATTGGGGCAACAGTGCAGTAGGAAGCCATCACACAGTACAAGATTAACAGTAAGAGAACCATGTAAGTTCAGAAAGAAAAACAAAAACACCCTGTTTGATTTGTAGCTATTTTCACAAATGCTTTCAGGGGACTCAGTGGTCCAGCTCATGCAGCTACACAGAGGTACTGGGCCATCTTGTGCCTTCACTTCCCTGTTCTGGCTACCTGCATCACGAGTAGCAATGCGGTAGGAGAAGCAGGCCCTGTAAGGGCTCTATGTTCAGTCCCTGTGCAGGTGAGTGAATGGAGACAGAGCAGAATCTTGGCCTCCCTCTTCCCCCTACACACCTGGTCACATAGCAGTGCCAGCACCTTAGGAAGCATGCGCTGTTCTGGGTTTATTCTGTTTCCTAAGTAATGGGGAGATGGGGAATACTGTGGTCTGGGGAGTCAGCCTTCTACCTCGCTGTTCTGGGACATCACAACATGCTGCACCTTGCACTAGGCAGACTGTAATGTCATCATCTATCCAAAAGCTATGTAAACTCAGCCCGGCAGAATGTGATGCCTGTACAAATTCTTGTTCATAGTTACTAAGACTTGATTCTTACTTATTTAAGATTGAAGGTCCAGTCTTCTCCCATCGGAAAGAAGCACCAATAAATCCCACAGCATGATCTGTTGCAATAAAGAGAAATCAACAATAAGTTACAGAGGCAGCCTCTCAGTTGATATTATCAATTTGGCTAATCAATTTGTTCCTGCAGACATTGAATAACAACAACAACAAAACCCTGCTTACTTCCACTGTAGTTTGTGTCGATGTCTTGAGGATCAAGGTCTTCAGAATATAGAAAATCCTCTAAACGACCCAGAGAAACCTTTGTCTGTAGAATGCACAAACATTTATGCTATTTGAGTTTTTAAGCAATACTTCATATATTCTAGATTACACCAATAAAGAAGCATGTCTATTAATTTATTTTGAGATGGGCAATGAAGTTCTTGGCACTAAATAGAAAATGTTTTCCTTATGTACGTTCATAAAGGTAGCTGAAGATTTAGGCCAGTGGTCCCCAAACTGTGGGGCGCACCCCTGTAGGGAGGCAAGGAGGAACATTCCAGGGGGCATGGCGAGGCCTGGGCCAGCCCCCACAGGGAACAGGGAGGGAGGGCCACCCAGCCCTGCTCTGCCCCCGTATCTGCTCCAGCCCCACTCCCAGCCTTGGCCCCATGCCTAACCTCAGCCCCAGCCCTGACCCCAGCCAGGGCTCCATTCCCAGCCCTACCTCAGCTGCGGCCCCCTTACCCCATCCATGTTCCCCCGCCCAAGCTGCAGCCCCACTCCCGGCTCCAGCAGGAACACGGACAGGGGCAAGGAGGGGCGCAACCCTGAAAAGTTTGGAGACCACTGGTTTAGGCTGACAGCAGTATTCACTTGAAACACCACACACTGTTAGACAACATTGATGCTCATGTCCCAGTGAGAAGTAGGCTCTGCTGACTCATGAAGGTTATGTCTTCACTGAACCAAAAAAAAAAAGGGTGCTTTAGCTATTATTCTACTGGAAAAACATAGTGGAGACAATGCACTTTAGTTTTATTTAAGGTAAATTAAGCAAAGTCAATCACAGGTTGGGGGTTGGGGTATAGTGCTGACCTGCTAGCTACCTTGTGGCAAACACTACGAGTGACTTGTTTCTATGCTCGTTAGTTATCTTTCTGTTTAAAAAACACCTCTGTGTCAGTGGAGACAAAGTCTGAGACAGGTTGTTTGTGGATTAGCTCTCTGGAAGAGAGAGAACATTTAGCGTATAAACTGAGCAGTCCTAAGGCAGCAGTCAAGCTGGGGGAGACTGAGCTCAATTTTGTTATAATACTGCTAATTTCTAGGTTAATAAAACCAAACCCCAGGAAGGGTTGAGCTCTGATTCAGTATAATTTGTTGCCCATGTCTGACAGCAGGATGGAGAGGGCATCTATTTACAATGGCCTTGCCACTTTACAAGAAACTGAGCTACATACAGAAACAGTAGATAGAGCACAAGTAGAAATAGGAACGGTACTCATGCCATCTGCTGGTCATTCCTTATAATAAGTTAACATACTTCAAAAGAGAATATACTCTGAAACCCCCTCCAACACCAGTGCCTCTCCCGCCCCACAAAGACATGAAAATTTCAACAAAATAAAACTAGAAATAATCAGGTGGTTTAACCTTCATCTACAAATAGATTAAACCACATGACACTGGAGATTAATAAAGGGCCATAAATGTCATCCTTTTTTGACACATATTCATATTTGGTTTAGGTTTTACCTGGGCTACAGCAGAGATCACTGTTGGCAAATCAAACAAAGGCAGTCGCAAAATATTAAACAAAGAGATAGATGTAAAGACTTTAGTTGCAGTTAGGACATTCTCTTCATCCAGCAGAAAATAGACTCCAAATGTAGCCAACGAGACCTTTAAAAAAAAAAAGGGCAGGGGAGGGGGGGAGATGAGGTGATTATTTTTCCATTACTTGTCCCATCCTGCTTAGTTTTACTTTTCAATGATTCCTGCTACAAAAATATGATGGTAGCAGTTAAGAGCTGGATGTTGACTACAGCTTAAAGCAAACTGAAACATAAACTGTGTTACTATTCATGAATTAAAACTAACATACTTCTGTCTATAGACTAAATACAAGCTTTATATTTTGTGGTATAAAATTCCATTTCATAATTAAGTTTGTACACAGATAATATTCCCATTGGATTTTGCATTAGATTTTAGTCTATGTGAAGGTCTCAATAGTCTCCATTTGTTGATTGGTACTTGTATTCCCATGTTCCACACAGAGTTCACTGTCTGCTTGTTTTCCACAGTATATTGGCACTATCGTTTTAACAAGCAATTGCATGCCTACTGATATCAACAAATGAAGGTGTTTCAGTTAGAACTGGGCAGGAAACTGATTTTTGGACCTGAATTGGGACAAAAAGTCAATCTCAAATATTTATGGACTGACAGTGTGAGGAAACATTCCATTCAGCGCACATGAAACAAGCTAATTTATAGTAAATAAAATTTAAAAATGAAAATAATCAAAATTGATTTTGTGTCAATTTTGACTATTTTCATTTTTAAATTGTATTTACTATAAATTAGCTTGCATTTCGAAATGAAAAGTCATTTTGAACTAAAGAAAAGGACTTTTTTGTTTCAAAAATGTCAAAATTGGAAACTGGCAACTTTGAAATTTTTCCAATTTTTTTCCCCAAGAAGTGTCAAAACTGATCCTCTCCCAGGCACAGTTTTTGTTTCCATGAATCACCACTTTCTGAAGAAAAATACTTAAGTCGACAAATTCCCAACCAGCTCTAGTTTCAGCCCCCTGTCTACCTTATTAAATGGTTATGAGGGAGCACCTAGGTTTTACTATTCCTAAACACATCTGACATTCTAATAAAGGCCAAATTCTCTGCAGCTTTAAATGGACAAAGCCACTGAAGTCAATGAAGCTGCAGCCAAATATATATCACCAAAGAATTTGGACATGTATGCTTTGCATGGGTGCTCTGAGTAACTTTAACTAACCTGTGCATTTCACACAAAATGGGTATATTTTAAAGGCTTATGTTTTGTTAAAGATAATAAAAAGGAGAAAAAAATACTTCTCTACTTTAGTTCGTCAAAAGAGGACGTATCCCAGATAAGGATCTGACCCATAATTTCTCCTATGTATTGAAGTGATTAAGTATGAAGGGCCAAATGCATCCCTAGTGTAACTCCACTGAAACAGAGTTGGGATGAAGTTGGCTAGAAGTTTTGTTATTTTTTTTTAAACAGTTTTATTTTCTTAAAATTCAGAACCTTACAGTTCAGTGGCAGAGGGGAAGGGAAGGGAAGAGAGAGGAGGTTGTTAAAAACAAGGATTAAAAGCAGATATCTTCCAAACTTTAAAAAGCAGAAAGGCATATTGATAACAGAGCTGGTCACCATATGACCACATAATTTTTCAACAGTGTTTACTTATATAATCAAATTGTATCATTTTCTTTCTTCTGCAGGAATTTAGGAAGGGATGAAATATGTTACTGAGGTAAATGCACAAATGTATTATGCAGTAACAGTTGCACTTCTGCAATTATTATTTAGTACTTTACAAATCATGCATCATAACATGGTTGTGAGTTATAGTACACAAATAAACATCAGTATCCCACTTTTACAAATGAGAAAACTAGCAAATTGTTAAAAGATTGGCCTAAATCCATACAGTAAATTGGAATTAACCCATGAGTTTCTGACTCCCAGTTATGAATTCAATCTACTAACACATGGTCCCCCAATTTTCCAGCAGATGCAGGCTTTAGCTCAGAGGAGCAGGTGTGTTGCAGAAATAAAAGTGTTCACTTATGCTATTTTTGGTACTTTACTATAGCAATTACTTGTTATGTGTAGGGCCCTACCAAATTCATGGCTATGAAAAATGTGTCGTGGACCACGAAATCTAGTCTTCCCCTGTGAAATCTGGGTGGCTGGAGAGCAGTGGCTGTTGGCTGGGTGCCCAGCTCTGAAGGCAGTTCCCTGTCAGCAGCAGCGCAGAAGTAATGGTGACAATACCATACCATGCCACCCTTACTTCTGTGCTGCTGCTGCCTTCAGAGCTGGGCGGCCGGAGAGTGGCAGCTGCTGACTGAGGGCCCAGTTCTGCAGGCAGCAGCACAGAAGTAAAAGTGTCATACCATGTCATCCTTACTTCTGTGCAGCTGCTTTCAGAGCTGGGCTCCCGGCCAGCAACCACTGCTCTCCAGCTGCCCAGATCTGAAGGCAGCGCTACCCCTACAATAACCTTGCGACACTCCCCTGCCCCCCCAAATTCCTTTTTTGGGTCAGGACCCCTACAATTACAACACTGAAATTTCAGATTTAAATAGCTGAACTTATTAAATTTACAATTTTTAAAATCCTATGACCATGAAATTGACCAAAATGGACCGTGAATTTGGTAGGGCCCTAGCTATGTGGCTTGGGAGGAGGAAGAAGAAAAATTCCTATCTGACTTCTGAATATAGCTGCACTATATTATATATTAGGTGTGGAAACTAACTAAACAGATTGTGAGTTTTGTGAATAATTGAAAGCAGCTTTATTTGATATGTAGGGAGTTTGATGGGGGGACCTCTAACAGATGCTATCAACTTCAAGGAGTGTGAGGGGGAAATTTATCTTCTGTCCTTCTCAAGTGTATTATCCAGCACAGCCAGGCTTAAGTTGTCTCTAACTGACTCCTACGAAAGGTATCTTTTTTCACCCACAGAAAGTTATTCTTCTCAGAAGAACTAGAATGTGTACCTCTTTCTTCCCCTCCACCCCAATTTTGTTTCCCTTTTAAAATATGAGCATGGAAAAAAAGCAAACTTGTCTTAGATGCTTAATAGGGATATCAACAAGAATTGCCTCTATTAAAAACGAATGTGTGACTGTTTACATTACAGAAGGGAGGTCTTCTGAATAAGACACTGGACTTGACTCAAGAGATCTGGATTTCATTCCTGGCACTGCCACAGGTTTCCTATATGACTTTTGGCAAGTCTCAATCTCTCTATGCCTCAATTCCCCTATATTAAATGGGTATTATAATAATACTTCCTGACCTCACAGAGATATTGTAGTGATAAATTCATTAATGGTTGTGAGGCTCTCAGATACTCCGGTAAGAGTGATAGCTAGCTACAAAAATGGATATTGTTAAGTAACGCACCATAAAAGGAATACAGGTTAAAGTTAGCATGGAGAAAGTTGTCAGGTACCCAGATGACTTCAGAACATCTATTTCATGTTCTCGAATTTCCACAACCTTCTTCTGATATGAAGGTTCCCATGCATAAAGTTTAAGAATCTAAATACAAATAAACAGAAAATTACATCTTAGTAAATCAACAGCAGTGATCATGATTGTTAAAATGAGTTTAAATTCCAAAAATTTATCTGCAAATGTTGAACAATACAAAAGTGTAAATATCCAACACTTGCTTTTTCCAGTGGATAGCTTCTACAAATAAAATATTGTCCAAGCAAGACCCAATATAACCCAAAATGAGATTCGTTATGAAGAATGCTATAATGTAGCCACCTTGAACTCTATACATTTCACTGTGCCCCTGTTTTGGTGAATTACTTATTATTCCAGGTTACTAGTATCAGCATTCATCCCCTATACATTTTAATTTATTAAATTTATCCACAGAGGTTCCACCATCTGACTTCATTGTAAACCTCTTCTATCACTTACTGATGTGGGAAAGTATCAGTATGGTAAGCCACACACTTATTTCATTTTCCTGGTGCACAGCATGTAAAACTGATCATCTCGTGCCCAGACAATATTTTTATTTAATAAGGAAGTAAATTTAAAGTGTGGCCAAAGGACTCCTAAGGACACCTGAAAACATCCTTTACTATTGTCCAGAACACCAGACAGAGGAATTACATATACAAGTAGGGCCTAACCCTTTAGCTATGTGAGTAGTTTAATTGACGCAAGTGTGCCCATAGAATCTGGAAAGAAACTCTTGGGATCCATCTATATGAAAGATACTATATAAGGTGATAAAAGAACACAAAATGCTCAAGGAAGGAAAGGCCTCAGGCTTTGTATTGGCAAATAGCTGCCAGTCCATCATACTAGCATTTTCATGATAAAAATATTCTCTACCTTACTTGCAACCAAGAAGTAACATCTTAAATAAAGTATTATATACATTTTATAGTAGCACCAATGTCTATGGTTAGAAATCCACAAACTTCAGAAAAATGTAAAATTAACTGTGAATAATTTGAAGCACTGGCCAAATTTAAAAATTGAAGCATAAATGACAAATAGATTTTCAGAAACAAGAACAAATTTGAAAAACTCAATTTTGTTCTTCAAGTTTTAGTGAAGATTTCCAACCATCTAATGACAAACTATCTGTGCTGATTAAAAAATAAAACAAGAGAACATGATCAAAATATCATGGGTAATCTATATTTTATAATCACCTCTCTTATATTAATAATGCTTTAAAAATCCACTTTAAGTAGTTATATAACAGAACATATTTTCCCCTAAATTCTTCTTTCCTACATTATCAGCTGAAAGGTTCAGTGACAGAACCCTAGTTTTCTGAATAACCTAGTCGCTCATCTTATTAAGCAGAACAATGAAACTGATTAGCTGCTTGTATTACCTTTATTCCATGCAAGATTTCATTTAGTAGCTTAACTCGTTGATCTGTATTCTTCATTTGGCTTTTCTAGTTTAAAAAAGAGAGAGCAATGCTTACAATTTTTTAAAAAAAACATCAGCGATTCAAACATACTTTGTATACGTCAGACAGTGAACACTGCTACTACTCTATTATTGACTCCCTTGGAAAAAAATACTTGTTATACTGTACACCTTACATTGTCAAATGTACTTCACATTCGGTATCTGACATGTATTATACCCAATCAAATAATTCATTATATGATAAAAAGATGGGTATGTCCTCTCTAATAGCACTTTTTCTTAAAAAAAAAAATCATCTTGATTTTTTGTAATACTTCCTGCAGCATGATTACAGTAATAACTGCATTTCTTAGATTCTAATTAAAAGCTTCATAATTAGAGTTTCAGTTCTCAGTGTTCTAGAATTACAAAATAGATTAATCTTAAAAATGCTTAAACATCTAAACTATAATTTATAAAAAAAAAAAACCTGCTCACCTACCAAATGTAAGTAGTCCCAAAAAACTGATGAAACTATTTCTGTGACAAAAGCAAACAGAATTTGGCCCAGTCTGATTTGTGAAATGTGAAGGAATACTTAGGTTAAAAAGCATATTTTGAAGAATAAATTCCTTTCCTCTGTTACTGATAACAGCTTTGATTATTAGAAACTGAATTTTTAAAAAATCCTCTCTTCTTACTATTTATGCTATATTTAATTGTGCATTTCACTCAACTTGCACAATGAAAACATGCTAGTCAGTTTCACTTAACATCTTTCACTCTCTGGTTATTAGGATACTTAGGCAGAACACCTTGGGTTGCAAACAGTGGCCAAGATCACTGCACTCTCCCTCACCTTTCTCCTTCTCCCTTCACATCACTGACAAGATCTGTATGGTGAGGGGAACTTCTGTGTAAGAATCTGCCCTCCCCCTTCCTCCTGGTGGAGGTCAGCTGCTTCTGTGGCACTGTTTTCACAGACACATAGGCCAGACCTCTCCAGAGGTCCATGGCCCTCACTGCATGAGCAGCTGGAAACAGGGTATGCTGGGGCATACAAATAGCTTCCCTTATAGCCCTGTAAAGTTTCCTTGGAAAATATAATAATTTGGGCTGTTTTTATTCTTTCTGTGGAGCCTGGGCAGCTGTGGCCAAGGGAAGTCCATAATAAAACAGTGCCAATGGAGCTGTGGTATCAGGGAGCCAGAGAGAGGGGTTCTGGAGGTTAGGATGTTGTGAAGGCAGGTTTCAGAGTGGGTCGTGCAGCCTATTCTGAGTATTGAGGGACTAATCTCGCCCCCCCCCCCACCCACACACACACCTCAATGGGATGGTCTGAGTCAGAGCATGAAAGTGAGATCCTCAGAAAGATCTCTTTCCCTCCTGCACTTTTTACTACAGACCATGGCCAGATCATTTCATCTCTGCTGAGGAAGGTCACTTATTCCACTTCCCAATCCCCACTTTAATTAATTATAGTAATCATGGAAAGGTTTGTAAAAGCTTTTTTGTTAATTAAACCTAGATTTAGGGCCTAAATCAACTGTGTATTATTAATTAAAACGTATTGACTTACTGGCACACTCACTTCTGTGACTAACTCTTCTTGCCAGTATTTCACACTGTAAGCAGAGTGTCTGGTTTGTGGTGTTTATCTTTAGGCATATGATTTTTTTTAAGACCTGCTCTTTACTGACAGAAGTGAAGCCATGTAACACGTAGGTCAACATCCTATGTTCCTGGGGATTAACTCCCAAAAACATATGGGCTACCTGTCCTATTTCCTTTTCCTTCTTCACCCCTAAAGAAAACTGCGAACACGAAAAAGACTTAGGCCCAAATCAGTTGCTGACTCAATAGCGCTTTGGATGACTAGATACCAAATGTGAAAAATCAGGAAAGGGTGCCTATATAAGACAAAGCCCTGAATATCAGGACGATCCCTATAAATTCGGGACATCTGATCACCCTATTTAGCACTCCAAATGGGTGCCACAGTTGTAGGATTCGGGTCTTTGGATTTTTGACTTCCATTTTATTTAATAATAAGCTCCTGAAAACACAGCTTACTATTTTGTTGGTATTTTAGTCAGTTTTGACCTAAAACCAGAAATCCTAACTATTGCCCCAAATTTGCCAACAATGAATTGAATAGGATGACTTGTGTGTAAAGTTAAGCACATGCATAAGTGTTTGTAGGCTCAGGGCCTATAACACATCTACAGATAAAATCTCTTCTCTTTATTGTTTTTTGTTTATAGATAAAGTTTAGTGATCTAAATATTGATTGATTAGATACCAAAAGTTCCCCCTCCAACAAAGAGAGCTGTGACTTTGGTTATTTTGTGCCCACATTAGTTTTACATTCGTATTTAAAAAATCAGCTCTTCATTGTAACTTTTTCCATAACAACTTTTTCCGGCATTTACATTTCTTACCCTCAGCTGTTTTACTTTTGCAGCAACAAAAGCATTTATAGGTATAACCAAAACAAGCACTGCAACACCTGCTAGCACTGATGGGCCCAGTTCTTGCCAGAGAAAGACTATAGCCATCAGGATCTGAAAAGGTGCTGACCAAAGAAGGTTGAGGTTTACAGTCAGTTCCATAAGTTGTTGGGCATCTGCTGACATCAAATTAACAATTTCACCAGTTGTATATTTTCTCCGTGAAGAATTAGCTAAGCTTAAAGCCTGCAACAATAGCAAGAAACCAAAGTGTACGGTTACAAAATGAAGTAAATTAAAAAGATGGAGTAAAAAAAGAAAGCATCTTTGCCTCATTTGCTATGCACTACAGTATAGTAAAGACTTTGTAGCTCACAAGCTCCACATAGAGATAACTTCTCTCTCCAGCTTTGAGCTTTGTTAGCACCTAAGATCCCTTGTCCTGAATGAGACAGGGCCCACTACATGTTTTACTACAATCTGGTATTGGCTACGCACACATTTGCAGAGTTCACCTAAAACATCAGGTTAAAGTTATTTAAAAAAAACCCACAACAGTTCCTAAACTATTGTGCATATTGCAACTTTCAGAGTAGCACTGCTGTGCCAAATCAAACCCAATTTTCACTAAAATGCTGAAGATCTCAACTTTCTCCCCTAGAGAGGAGATTTCCTGGCCAAAATTTCAGCTTTCTGCTCCCACTACTTCAATGCTAGAGCAATTCAAGGAAAGGTTGCATAAGTAGTTCTTATTTTTTAAAAAGGGCTAGGGATGGAGGGGAATTCAGCCTTCTTTTTGCTCAAAAATGGATGAATAATTTTTGTTCAAACTTAACAACACAGACATGCAGACACATGCACAGCCCTCCGCCTTTACACACAGACCAAGGCTGGAAAATTTCAAGTTTAAAAAAAAAAAAAAAAGTGAGTTTCAGAGAACAGTAAGCAAGTGAAAAAGGGGGTAGTTCCCAATCCCGCAACCTGCCCTGCCCTGGCAGACCCCTATATCTTCACGGATTCTGCACTGATGCACAGCTTCCCCCATTTAGTTGTAGGATGGGACTCTTAGAATGGAAACATGAAATTTTAACTTCAGCTGTTGCTAGTGCTCCAGTTATAGTTCAGGCATCTTTATTAATATTTTCTTCAATCTACAACATCTTTGTTTTTGTAGCACTTCTATCTTTCAAAACTGAGACATTTGCCCTTTTTAGAGGTTAGGGAGTAATGTTAGAAGAAGCAGTTACCTTTTGGTATATCAGGCCAACAGCAGCAGTCTTAATTTTGACAGAGGTGAGCATATTGAAACGCTGGTATAACTGATGGACAAGTGTCTGCAAGACAACCACAACAAGAAGAGCAATGGCATAGCCGTATCCCTTCCAGTGTAAATCAGAGTGATTTTCACACAAAGTTATCATTGCCCTGCAAATGAAGGAATACACAGTTTTAAAATCTGTGCATTAATCAACAATATGAATCTGGCAAATGGGTTCAGTAAAATTGATATATTTACAATCTGTGTAGTTATTACATCCACTTTGCACAGGTCGAAATGAGTCTAAAAGGTGCAAGACAGTGGAGAATTAGGATACTCAAAATGGGCGGTGGATTGAAGAGCATTCATCTGTGTGCTACTGTGCTACCTTTGAAACAATTCTCAAATGCTGTTTCACAGAGAGGGACGTTGCTGCTGATTTCACTGGTAATGGAGCACAAATACAGGGCGGTTAAAAAAAATCTACCTTTTTTTGTTAGAACTGTAGAATAATAAAAAAAATCAGTATTTGCCAAATGGAAAAGGGTAAAAAAAATCAGAAGTCAAAATTAAGTTTTGTTACTAGCCTGAAAATAGACTACTACTAACAAGTGAGTGTAATAAACAATATAGAGCAGTGTTTCCCAAACTTGTTCCGCCACTTGTGTAGGGAAAGCCCCTGGCGGGCTGGGCCAGTTTGTTTACCTGCCGCGTCCGCAGGTCCGGCCGATCGCAGCTCCCTTGGCCCGCGCGACTTCCAGCGGCTCCCACTGGCCCGGAGCAGCGAACTGCGGCCAGTGGGAGCCGCGATTGGCCGGACCTGTGGACGCGGCAGGTAAACAAACCGGCCCGGCCCTCCAGGGGGCTTACCCTACACAAGCGGCGGAACAAGTTTGGGAAACACTGATATAGAGTAGTTGATGGTGTCATTCTAACATTTCCTTTCAGACAATCGCAGATGTAGCTCACAGCAAGGTTAATTTTTAGCACAAACTGTTCCATAGCTGAGGGTGGCAGCTGCAACAGTCTAAAGGTTAACACTAATCACTCATGTTCATAAATTCTCTGATAACCAACCAGGTGAACAACCGTGTTAAACATCTTCCCTTTGTTGATAAAAATCACTTCCTTCTCTCCCATGGCAGAGTCATTTTCAGTCTTCAATTAAACCTGAATAGTAGTTATTATAATATCACAAAACTTCCATGTTTTTGTGACTGAGATGTAGGTTTTCTTTTTGTTCAGCTGCTCCAGCAAATAAGAAAAATCTACATCTAAGCAACAAAAGCATGGAAGTTCAGAGTTTTGACTCTGAATTTAAGCTAACACTTAATATGTACCTTTTGAGTTAGTCTGAGCATCAGCCTTCAATTAGCTTTGCATTTCATTTGTTTTTAGTTCTTGATTCAGATTCTAAATTTTGAAATTCTTAAACACAGATTGCACAGTTAGGCTTCCCTTTGCATTTGTCACAGTTCCTGGGCTAACCGCCCTTCTGATCCCCCTCTAAGTACATTCCCTCTCAGTTCTCAAGCCCCTAGCAGTTGCCTGCCTCTTAGGATGAATCACACAGTTCTCCCACTCTCAGACCAGGCATTGCACTGCAGTTCCCTGTGTATCAACCATGATTACCTTAGGGTTGCCACCTTGGTAATATTTAAAAACTGAACACTCCAGCAGGAGTGTCAGAACCTCCCCAGCTCCGCCTCTTCCCCAAGACCCCACCCCTGCCCTGCCTCTTCCCCAAAGCCTCGCCCCTGCCCCACCTATTCCCCCAAGCTCCTGCCCCACCTCTTCCCCTGATGCCCCACCCCTGTCCACTCCTCTTTCCCCCCCCCCCCGCAGTCACTCGCTGCTTTTCCCCTCCTACTCCCCGCCACCCGGTCAGGAGGGACTCGCCTGTGAAGCCAGGGCTGGGAGCTGCAGCCGCCTGATGCAGGTAGGGGGCGGCCCCAGCTGAGTAGGGGCTGGCGTGGGAGATGACCCAGTGCAACCCCACCTCCCGCACCTGCAATAACTGGACTTTGGGTGTCCGGTCAGTAACACACCAGACTTTCCAGTTGAAAGCCGGACAAATGGCTACCCTAGATTGCCTCAGCAGGTTTGATGTACGTCCAGACCCTACAATTCTGTTCTTTCCAAGAATAATGACAGTTGTGACCAGACAGTTTTTTTAAAGCAGAATATTAATTATTAGAACAATAGATTTTTCTCTGAAATGTAATTGTCAAAAAAAAAAAGTCTACACTCTTGCCTGTCTGTTCCTAAGGCTTAGCATTCCATGGCTATGGGGAAAGATCAAACTCTTTCAGATTTCTCCTCAAAGTCTCTCTCACTGTCAGCCTGTCTCCCCTTGGGCAGCGCCTGACAATTAACCCCTCACTTCCTCTCCAGAGGAGGACTTTGTAACCGGTTTGCAGTTTGTTGGAAATAGGGCACAGGATCTTTGAGGGTAACACTTTTCCCCGTTGTCTTTCAAGTGTCTGGATGTTCTTGTCTGGACAGCCATTGTGTTGCCTTCATGCATAGACCCCGTTGAATTTTAACATTTTAGGCATACAATAAACATTCCACTACCTCCAATGTAAGTTAAATCAATTCTGACATTCAGGAAATTCTAATAAATCCATGCTAGTTACACAGTAACTTTACCTCACTGCCCAGGTCACATACAGCATTCATATAATTGCTACATCTCAGTATTCTTAGATCATTACATAGTAGTTCCATGACTGTCACAGCATTTTCACTTCAAGCATTTTTTTAAAAAAGTTACCAATGACTTCATAACACAACTGGGTATATTACCTGAATTATGAAATTTTAAAAATATAATTTCTTAGTTTGAATACATTATTAGGGAGCACTTACAGTAAATCATGCTAAGGAGTAAAGCAGGGGTCGGCAACATTCGGCACGTGGCTCGCCAGGGTAAGCACCCTGGCAGGCCGGACCAGTTTATTTACCTGCTGACGCAGCAGGTTCGGCCGATCGCGGCCCCCACTGGCCGTGGTTCGCCGTCCCGGGCCAATGGGGGCGGCGAGAAGCCGCAGCCAGCACA